TTACAAGCTCAATTTTATTTTGAATGGATAATTATTGATTAGAATTCTTTTGCAATGTATTTAAGGCAAAATAAAACTGCCCCAAAAATTCGACGGAATCCGTAGCTACGACATTGCATGGCCGTTAAACCAATACGTTCTATTACGAGAACATTGTTTCACCCTATCACATCATTTATTTATTGAATAGAACACTAAAGTTCTTTCGAGATCTGCTAAACTTTTTTGGATTATAACCAAAGAATAAAGAAACAACTCTGATCTTTCATGATTGCTTATTACCCCATACAGTCCATATTGAACAGACTCTTTTCAATGAAGAAAATTGAATGATGAGATCCTGAGATAAGTTGATGAAAAAAACAATTAAACGAGTGCGGACAAAGTCTTTTTAGATAAAAAGACTGAATTAACTACTAGAATTTATGCACTATATTAATAAACTGATTGGATGTTGCATAGAGTTTTAAAGCAGTTTAAAGAACTTTTTTAATTAGAAAGACATATAACATTATGATGAAATTTTTTGTTAGAACTAATTTGTATGAAAAACCTTTTTCTATACGAACGAATGTTTATACTTCTGACGATTCTGTCTTTGACTTGGATTTTGTTTATACTTACTACTTTTATATACTCTTCAGTCACGTTCACATGTCCATTTCGCCTCAGTCTGGTGTCTTGCAAATATTATTTGATTTGATTTTCAAAAATTCTCATGCTTGAATCAGATTGAAACAAAAACCAAATTGAGGCGAGATGAACATATGAACGTGGTTTTAACTTTATTTGTTTTCTCTTATTGTCTCAGATGGCAAATTTACCAGCTGATGCTAAAGTTCTAGAAGCTTTACCGTTGTATGAGAAATTGAAAAATGAATGGAATCGTAAACCACCAAATATTGAAAAATGTGATGAATTATTACGATCGTTGAAGGTTAGTAAGAAAACAAAATTTTGTTTTGTGTTAAAAGAGATAGCTGTATTTTAGCGTCTTCAAGGTGCTTTTTATTCGACCTACTTGTGTTTTCTATTTTGAAGAACTTATTCGCTGAAGGTGGTTTTTATCCGTCTGATATTAGTAAAGATACACGTGGTTTGCTTATTGCACGTAAGTTATTATTGATTTATTATCGAAAGAAAATGATCTATTTACTTTTTTCTCATTTAGGCGATACATTAGAAATTGGTGCGCAATGTGCTGTAACAATGGGTGATATTCCAGCATTTGAACGTTCATTAGCTCAATTGAAACCATTTTACTTTGATCTGGGGTAAATATTGTAGTTGACGAAGTAAACTACAGTTTCTATGTGTAGAAAACCATTCATTTATTCTGTCAATCTAAGCGGAATCAGTTTTCGATAAAATTTGAGAGAACAACGGTATAGTATTGATACATTATATAACAAGAGTACCATATCAAATCCCATCTTACAGTAAACTAACTGTTCATCTTTTTTGTTGAAGGGACCATTTACCTGAGTCACCATATCGTTATCAATTGCTCGGTTTGAATCTTCTGTGTTTATTATCTCAAAATCGTTTAGCCGAATTTCATACAGTAAGTACTAACATAATATATTCAGTAGTAAAATAAGCAAAAAGTTATCATTTATTCGAGATAATTTTGTTATGATAAGTGACGAATTAGCTCAGTAAGTGAAAAAATGGCTTCGACGTTATTTCTTTCAATGTGTGCATCTAGTTTTTGTTTATTTCTTCTTGAGGAACTTGAACTATTACCACCAAAGGATATACAAAATAATCTTTATTTAAAACATCCAGTATCATTAGAACAATATTTAATGGAAGGTAGTTATAACAAGGTAAGCAAACGACAAACATAAAATTGTAGTGCGCTCGTAGATAGTGCAAGAGTCATCAGAATTAAAGCATACAACGACTTATTATCACGAGATGACAGTCATTTCTGATGTATTCCATTTAAAAATCTCGATGAAATAATTAGACGAAGTATAATTTACAATGATGTGTTTGGTTTGATTCCTTTAGGTGTTCTTAGCTAAAGGTTATGTTCCATCACCGTCATCCAATTTTTTCATGGAGATCTTACTTAACACCATACGGTAAGCAAACGAAATAATACCGGGTTTTATATTTCGAGCTAGTTGTTTGTTAATGTTTTAGAGATGAAATAGCGTATTGTATGGAAAAATCTTACAGACGAATTCCGTTTAATGAAGCTGGAAAAATTTTATCTTTGAGCAATACAGATGAGTTAAATCGAATTGCACAGAAAGTAAGATAATGTTTGTTGTTCTTGAGTTATTGTGATCTGTACACATTATTTTCGGTTTGTCTATTGCATTTTTCTGACATTTTATTATTTCTAGCATGGTTGGCAATTACAAAGCGACAATTCATACCATTTTGGTGATAGTCAATCTAAATTTGATAATGAGCATGTTCCAGCGGATGATATAGCCACACAAATGATACAATATGCAAGAGAAATGGAAATTATTATTTAATTTAGGTTTTTATTCTAAAAACTTGATTCGATTTTTGTTTATTTTTCTGTTATGTAGACGAGGAAAGGAAAATATGATTTTCTCTCTCTTTGTTCTTTGTACGTTTTATCGCCTCTTAGGGGCATTTGTAAACTAACATGAAAAAGAACTTGTTCATAATGGTACCAACCTGTATTATATATTTAGATTGTATAGACTGTCTCACTATCCCTATCTTGGACGGTTCTAATCGAGGAATTTTTTTTAGATCTATTACATCTGCCTCATTGACCGAAATTCGAGATGATTTGTTTGTTTTTCTAGATAATGGATTTTAATTTTTCTCATAAAGTCACAGAAGCTGAAGAACATGTACGTCAAGCTGACAAATATTTGAAAACGTCGTTGACCAACTGGAAACCCGATTTGGATAGTGCCATAAATGAATTAGAAAAAGCTATGTCCTGTTATCGTATTGCAAATTCGTACGATAAATGTCTTGAAATTTCGTTGAGAAATGCTGAATTACAACTTAAAAAAGAGTCAAAATTTTTTGCTGCCAAATCATATGAACAAGCGGCTACATGTGCGCAACAAATGAACGATTTACCACAATCAGCAAAGTATTTTGATAAAGCTGCACAACTGTTAATCGAAGGAGGTTAGCACAATATTTCTCTTTATACATAAGAATGAGCATGTCGCTTTTTCATCTAGGTCAGCGTGATTCAGCTGTGATCTTGTATGAACGTATTGGTCCTGTATTTCAAAATTTTGATCGTTTATTAGCTATTGATTTCTATGTGAAAGGTGCTCGTATAGCCGAAGTCGATGATAAAACACATCAAGCGTCAGAATTGTATGAGAAAGCTGCCTTGCAATCAATACGTCAATCACAAAATTTCACACAAACCAGTGAATTATTAGAAAAATGCTCACATATTCTTGTAAAAATGGAACGTTATGATCGTTTAAATCGTATTTTACTTTATCGTATTTTAATTAAATTATTTATGGATGATTTTGTAGCTGCCAATAATTTGTTTGAACGTTTTTGTCAAGAATATCCAACATTTGCCGAATGGGAGGAAGCACAAAATATACAAATGTTAATAGAAGCATTTGAACAAGACGATCCAGATTTAATCAGTCAAAATTGTCAGGTATGATACTCAGTAATACGTCGATTATTCTATTTACTTCTTACTCCTTTAGCGCCCGTTTTTTTTGGCAATCGATAATGAATTTGTTCGTTTATTGAAAAGATGGATTAGACCAACGGCGACTAAGCGTCCTCAGAACGGTGCAGCTGTGGAATCAAGTAGTAGTGGGGGTAATCATTCTGGAATTAGTCAGACGACAACGATATCTACAGTGAAACCTCTTCAATTAGATGAAGATGATTTACGATAAGAAATTTTGACGTTTTAGAGTGAGTTTCTGAAAAAGTCTGATAAGAACGATAATGACTAGTTCCTAGTCTGGCTGTTTTTTGCTCATGTTAAAGAACAAAAGTATATTCTCAAAATATCTCGGTCTAAATCAATATATGATACTTTGTTGAAATAAAAAAGAGGATACTTTAAACTCCTAAGACACTGTGAAATCTATTCGATTCGACGTTTTTGAAAGTCTTGTAACATACGTTTTAGCGTTTGAACAAGTCAATAAGTGAAGACAGATTCATATCTCAAATTGATGAATAACACTTAACATCTATTCAACTAGTAACTTTTTGGTTGTTTATGCATATGTTGTAGAATATGAGCATAATCTAAAAATGACTCGATCGAAATGTTTTATCCTTTCTGGTCCTACTATTCTCATTTCATATATGATAAAAACCAAAAATCGAAGATTTTATTTTTCTTGTACCACGACGCTTCAGGGAGTAAATTTTTATTATTTTGTAAATAGTTTCATGCATAGATTTTGAAAAATAACATTTTTGTCACAAAAACTTTGACTGTCTCAATCCGATAAAAAGTTTACACACTAGTTCGATTTGTTAAATCCATGCAAGAAAATAGATCCTTTTTCCACTGAAGTCAAATGAACAAATCTAAATATATATATGAAATACCTACCTGATCGGTATAGTGGTTATGCCGATAGGATGTTGTTTTGAAATGTTGTGTCTTCTATGGGTTCTTTTATCTCTCTTATATCTATAATTTATATTCTTTTATTGTTTGGGTTGTTTTTGTGGAGAAACGCGTGATTTTAATAAATTTAAGAGATTATTGAGATTTTTAGTGAAATTTTTTCACACATCTTTGTCTTTTCATTCTTCTAGAGAGTTAAGTAAAATTTATGTGTAGTCTGAAAGTATAATTACGCTTAGTTTCCATTTAAAAGTTTTTGAATTAATATAAACGTTTAAAATGTATAATTGTAAATTATAAGATTTCATATTAGGTGGTGTATATAAAAACCGAAAGGTAATTATTTAGGTGGAATTTTCTTGTTGTTTTGGTTTCAGATTCAATGGATTTTGATAGTATCTTGTGTATCGAACTTTGTACTACTATTTAAAAAGTATGAAAATGTTATTTTATCCTATAAATAATAAAAACTTACTCCCTGAAGCGTCGTGGTACAAGAAAAATAAAATCTTCGATTTTTGGTTTTTATCATATATGAAATGAGAATAGTAGGACCAGAAAGGATAAAACATTTCGATCGAGTCATTTTTAGATTATGCTCATATTCTACAACATATGCATAAACAACCAAAAAGTTACTAGTTGAATAGATGTTAAGTGTTATTCATCAATTTGAGATATGAATCTGTCTTCACTTATTGACTTGTTCAAACGCTAAAACGTATGTTACAAGACTTTCAAAAACGTCGAATCGAATAGATTTCACAGTGTCTTAGGAGTTTAAAGTATCCTCTTTTTTATTTCAACTGGAAGTATACGTATACTTCTCACAAATTTATTTCGATATCACCGTAAATATATACAAATATCTCTTATTTTAATTTCAAAAACAGTTTTGTTCGCTTTTTAAACAAAAAGTAATTAATATAATTTTCCTGCCTCCAGTGCAATAATATTTGTTTGTTGTTTGCTTGTATTTTCTATGGCATTAACATAATCTTTAGTATGTTTGAACGGTCATTTTATCTAGTCATTTTGTGCATTTTATCTTTTAATACTATTTATTGTATTGTTTGTAAAAAAGTTGTGTATATGTAAGAAAATCATTATTTATTGAGGGTTAAAATATATAACTACATTCTGATTGTCTGAAACTTTACGCACCTGTTATCATCTAGATATTCGAAAGCATGTTCTAGTAGAACTCTAGTTTAGGAATAATTTTTCTTCTTCAGAATTAAATAAGATTTCCAACAGTAATAAAAAAACCTCTATTTGAGAAATGGAAACTAGATCGAGTGTATTTAGTTTCTTTATTTTTCAAAGCTGTTGCTTACGTGAAAATAGAAGAACATATCACATCGATTTTCATTTTTGATGGCCTGTATCTGATCTTAACTTGAACTAGATTGGACATTGCCTTCCATCTTTTTCAAAAGGGTGGAAAAAGGGGAATTCTTGCAAAAGAAATGGTTTAATGGTAACAGTTATTTAGATACATTCGAAGAAACTAAAACTTAAAAGACTAGACTAAGTATACTACGCAAAGACTGAAAGATCGACTGACTGACAATACAATCTCAGAAAATTAAAACGTTCACAAAACTTTGAGATATTCAGATAGTATTTGCTTTATTCAGAGTATAGAAAATGACTGTTCTTACAGATGATCAGCAATTATTTCACTTCTTGTCCTTATTCCTTCAATTTTACGCTATGCAGTAAAGTAGCTTTTGATTAACCATCTCTTCAAAGAAGAAACAGTATAGCGTATATGCAGTTAACCCCCGCCTCCCGATACCCGTGGACATCGATAAAACTGATATAGAAAAATAACGAAGCATCGTATCAAAAACCCGGATGTTGTTCTAAACTTTTTCTACAGATTTGGCCATAGAACAGTTTTTAGATATAGAAGTTGATTACTGTTGCTATAACGATCCTTTCCATAACTGAACAAAAGAAGAAATTTCTTGTCAAGTTTCCTTTATGCATTAATTATAGAAATGGAATGTCCACATCTGTAGACAGACATTAGAGGGAAGTGACACAGAAAATACTGATTTTTTAATTTTACACTTTTTTTAGTTTTATCATCGACATTAATACAGCATCTCTCTAAGCAAGCATTACATCACGTTTTCACTGGCATGACATTATATACATACACGTCTGGGAATCTCAGAAACATGTGGATCATAGATACTCGACCACGCTGATCGTCGTGGCGATTTTCATTCTCCACTCAGCCGCAACTTCAGAAAAGCCAATTTTATGAAAATCCGGTTTTTGCCTGTTCCCGTCAAAAAATTTACTCATTCCTCGTTTAAAAAGACTCAAATCTTCAGAAAATTCTCAGAATAGGACGTAGAATGTAGATCGAGCCGAAAAAATTACATAGGATTTCCAGTTTATGCATATAATTTTTTAGCGGATCTGTGGAAAACCTCTCGCGGAACTAAAGTTCAGATTCGATTTTTTCGACTAGTTTTGCATTCTATGATCTCTGCTAATTATTCTCTGAAAATTTGAGTCTTTTTGGACGAGAAATGAGTGAAATATACGGTTTTTAATTTTTGCCGGTATCAGGCAAAAACTCCGATTTTTACTAAATTGGCTTTTCTGAAGTTGTGGTGAGAACCAAAGGAGATAAAGACCTAGACTTTGCGTAGCTTTGAAGAGAAATGTTTTGGCTATCGACTGATATAATTTGAGATTGAATTTCATAATGTAGTTTGGGATTTTGCCTCGAATGGTACACCATGGTAAACATGATCGAAAGCCCTGATTTTCTCATAGGTTTACGTCCCAAAGTGTCTATTTTCAGAATCTGAAAACCGCAGTTCTTTATCTCATTTCTGTCAAAATATTAAGAAAACAACCAAGTGCATGGTATTTTGGCGCCGACAATAGCAGGTTAATAGTGTGTTTTTTTGAAATTGAGATGTTCCATACATGATCTTTTGTAGTATCACAATACTGTTTGCTCAATTTTAAGATTACTGAGTTACGTGTTTAAAAATATTAAAATCTTAGATAAAAAAAGTGTCAAAAATAAAATTTCATATTGTGGCGGTTTAGAAGATCAGATTATGTATAATAAAAATATAAGATAGATACTTGATCAAATGTAAATAAAAACTTAATATTTTTTATATTACATTCAGTTCATTGAAATTCTCTTGTCTCATCATTGCATAGTACGCGCGGTTCATTCTTATTGTCGTTTAATGTACAAGTAACAAGTTCGTTTACTACGGATGCACACATGTCTTTCTCATCAGAAGATTGTTTAATACTTTTAGAAGACAAACCAAGCAAATCTTCTTCAGATTTTAATAATTCTTGACCACGTTTCGTTTTCGTTTCATAGTCAATTAAATGAGTTAAAAATCCTTCATTGGGCCATATTCTTCTTCGTGATGAGACTAACTGGATTGCATCCATTAATGTCATATTATATTTGCTTACTAAGTAAGCAATAACAAGTGTAGCTGATCGACTGATGCCCTAAACAGGAAAAGAACACAAACAAATAAATTCAGACATTTTTAAGATGATTTTAATAACCGGAACACACATACTTGTTGACAATGTACATAAACTTTATTTTTTTTATTTGACAATGCTTCATGTAGAAAATCACTTGCTTCCTGAAAATGTTTTGAGATATCGTATGTTATAATATCGATTATATTGAAACCAGTGTACTGAATTTGAACATCTTCGTAATATGTTCGACACGTATTTATCTGACCGTATTTTCGACCTTCCGCACAATTTAAAATATGCGTAAAACCAAGCTTTTTCAAATCTTCTTTGTTCATAGCTAATCGACTAAAAAAGCAAATTCTAAGTAATCAACATAAGCGTGAAGGATGCGAACTGGGTATATAATTGTAATTTAAAAAAAACATACCAGTCACCCAGATATAAATTTGGTATAATTTCATTGTAATTTTCAGTGTCAACTGCGTCAGCGGGTATACTGTCATAAAAATTTTTTAAGAAATCTGTAAATGATCGATTTTTTTTTTGTAATTTTGTATTCAATAATATTTTTTTTATGAGTGCAATAATTGTTTTCGTTTCATTATTTGATGCTAGCGGTTGAGTCAGTGGTGACAGTGACGGTGGTAGTGGTGGTGCTGGTGGCGGTGGTGGTGGTGGTGGTGGTGAGGGTGTCGAACCATCCATACTCATGATCTGAAGTAAGAAGGCGTTCTTTCAAAATGAATATGAGATTTTTTTTCTTTTTCTTCCGTCCTACAACATATATAACGATTAAAACAAATATTAATATTTCTATGTATGTATCTTTATAGTGGAAAAAGAAAAATATTAGCCCACTCTGTAGAGAATTCATGTATGAATATATGAAACAATTTAACCCGTTATCTCCCATAACTGATCATGAAAATCGAACTTGAAATTCTAGAATCTTTGTTTAGGCTTGATAAAATCAATTTTTCTTACCTGCAATTGCTACCTTACAATGTCAGCTTACGTTTTTAGAAAAAAATCCGTTTTTTTGATACGGCACATCGTCACCTTGTTATATCGATTCTTCAATATTCACTAACGCCCACCCTAGTTAAGGACAGTTTTCTTAGCTTGTTTAGTTTTTCCCTTCATGCATAACGAACTAATTGATGCGCTGTTGACAGTACTACATAATTACGAACAGGAAAGAAACTGAGGGTATAACTGATCGAATAGATAATCTTCAAACTGAATGAAAGAAAAGACGACTTATTGTTTTTCATCAGAAAAACATTTTCTTTCTTTTTTTTAAAGATTTTTCTCTAGGGAGTAAACCACTTACCATAGATTATGACTAGTAATAGAGATTTGAAGAAAAAAGGTAATATGAATCTTCGAGTGCTGCAGTTGACATATCTAAGTTCAAATAAGTTATAATTATCACATTATCGTATCAAAAACGGTACATATTTTCGAACACTTAACCGTTTTTATTCTATAAGATAATTAATCGTCTACAAAAGACACATGATACTTAATAGTATATCACATATACAACGTATCAAAACTTATTCGGACAGTATGTTGTTTTCTTACAACCACTGTATAGTCAGTCTACAGAGTAATGAATCAGTTCAGTAATCATCCCGTTTTATTTGATTCTTAATGCAGTGCGGCAGTGCGAAGTAATTGATCAGAGTATACAGGCGCGATATTCATTATAGTGCAATGTTACTTTCATAGCTGATCTCAAATACAGTGTTATTCACTTCATTATCTACATATGATTGCTATTATGAACGAGTCATTAGTATAGTACAACCCTTATATGCATTACTATATTGTAAATATACAGTAAAAGTTGCGATGCAAATGTTTCGCTTCGCACTGCATTAGAAAGTTTCGTACAGCATGATTGCCTTCTAGTTTATTTTGTTATTGCTAAACTATTTAAGGGCCTCCCTCAGAAAAAAACTTTTTTATCTTACATCCGATTTTTATGACACTTTCAACAAATGTCTGCCATATCAAAGTGTGGTTATGAAATTTTTTTTCCGCGCTACCTCTTACCGTTCCGGGGTTTTCCAGATTCCAAGGTCAAAAAAACGCCCTTCACTGTGGGACACTTTTTTTAAATATACTTCAACCTAGAGATCTCGGATTGATTTTATTTTAACCTAGACACCTAACTGCGTTGGCTGATAGGAGCCGATTTCTGAATTAGGCCTTAGTTTTCTAGAAAATCAATGTTTTCAAAGCTTCTAGAAAACTTGCTCGAAAATCACAAAAAAAACAGTTCTAGGCCCAAAAACGATATAGATTCTGAAAGTCCAGGCTATCTTTCCATGTGCTTGTCTCCAAATTGATTTTTTGATATAAAAAGATTTCATTCTGAGGGGGGCCTTAAACGCGTTTGAAGTATATCTTGAAAAAACGAGAAACAGAGAAAAAATAAATTTCTCATATTCGAGAAAAGAGAACAATGAAATTACACTAAACTGAATCAAAGATAAAAGAAACAGTTTTTTAGCTAAAATAATCGCATTCTAGTCAAGTCAATTACGCAATAATTACTGTCTTAATTAATGTCTTCAATTAATGTCAATATGCTACAATTTTGATACACTAAACTGCTAAAAAGCTCGCAGTTGGGTCAGAGCTGAGATCAAACAGCAACAATAACAGACAAAAATTATAATTGTGTTGTTAGCATCACATCATCGTTAATTTCGGAATAATATCAGATAAGTGCAGACTGTCGTTCGTTTAAAAAACGGACTGATAACAGATAAAACTTTTAGACAGATGTATGATGAATATGCTCAATAATATCGACTAACTCAAACACCATGGATACATAAAATAAATTTTTCTCAAGATCTATGACGTTATATTCTTTTATAGCAGATTTTTTATAGTTTTGTATTAGTTAAGTGATGCTGTTATCAGCACTGAACTGGAGTTTGTGCAAATAAGACCAATATTTTTTGTCGATTTAGATCTCTGTTGAAGTTCGTTCTAATAAAACACTTTCTTTATTATCAAATTATCACTGCTTATCTATAATGTAGTAAAAATATTTCGTCAAATACCTGTTTCCTGTATATATATATATATACATACAGTCAATTTCCTCCAAAAACGTTACTCATCTCTATTGCATGCATGATAGATTAAAAAAATAAAAGTTTTTAACCAAGATTTTCTATGAACCTTGAAATGCATTTGATACATTATTTTTATAGCTAATTCAATAGTAATCTTGCTGATGTCTGTCTTTTATTTCAACTCGATTATCGAACAGTTAATATAATTAAAAAGTTATTGAATAATCGGATAAATCATTGTTACATCCCATGTTTAATAATACTTCATTGGCTGATGATTTCGTGCACAATTCGACATCTCGTTCTGCTAATGTGGTATATCATTTTAGTGCACTTCTATTATTTAAGAATGCTAACAATTCTTTTATATCATTTATGGCTTTTTAAGATTTTTGATGCTTTTCATTATTTTCGAAGAACAAATCACAGGTTTTGGACTGTCTTCCGATGGTATGAATATAATTATACATATAAAATCTAAAATTAACAGCGAACACTACGATAATGATTTGTGAATAATTCACAAGGGCAATCCAATCTAGTTTATATTGTATGCAATGTTTACATCTCTAATATCATTCTCGTATAGGTAAACAATTTTTTTTCTTGTATGGGAAATGCAATAACAATTTGAAATTCCTTTACCGGTCGACTCTTATACCTCATTGAATGAAATAAAATATACAAGTTCAAAAGGTCATTTTTTTTTTTTAAATAACAATGCCACTTTCTGAATTTATGTGCATTGATGATTATTTATTCCGTGTATTATATTTTGAGTAAAAATCTGAGATAGAAAGAGAAAGAGAAAATAACAACATTATACAAATATAAGAGAAACAACAACAACAGCTCGCATAAACAAATTTGTTCTAGATTGACAATAATAGAAAACAACAACAAAAATAAAAAGTACACATCAACAAATTTCTATCATTCTTTTTCTTTACAACAAAATAACAAACGAAAAAAACAAAAAATCGATGCGTTAAAACGATCGAAGTGAGGCGTGTGATAAAAGGCATTTTAATAGAAGAGGATGAGAAGATCATAGAAAGAATATGAAGAGAGAGTATTTTAAACAACAGAGAATAATAAATTACAAAAAAGAACTCCACTGTTCACAGCAGTGGTAATAGTAATAGTAGTACAGCAAGGTTCGTTGCATTTAAACCTTATATTATCTACATAGTTAGTTCCATAGCTTGTACGAAAACAAAAAACTGCCAAATAAAAAAACAAAATGAAACAAAATGCGTATTAACGCCAAATTGAGCTAGAAAATGAAAATGAGAATAAGTGATTCAAGTATCAGAAGCAAAAAGATATTTGAGATAAAAGAAAAATGCGGAGTATTTTTCTCTCAGCTATTTTTTTCTCAAGAGATGACTAAAGTTGGAAAGAATTAAAATGGGAAATTTTCTATAATCTCCTTGGCTACCAGACATTGTGTTGAACTAAAAACGAGTAGTTAAAAAAACTACTTGACTAATACGTGAAACAGTAACTTTTTGAAATCTGTCTCACGCTCATCTAAGAAATTGTGTGCAAAAATCGTTTTAGAATACAAATTAATCTCTGAAACCGTGTAAGAAAACCACATAAATTCACATTCTATCATTCTAGTATAAAAGAAGCATAAAGTAAAACAATATTATCAAAAACAAAACAAAAAAAAAATTTAGTTTTTCAACAAATTTGTTGACGATTTAATACTGATGTGGTTCAAGTATACTAATAAAATAACGAAAGACAATAATGCACATACGGTTGCCGATTTTGTTGTTGTTTTTTAAATTAGTATCAGATGTAATTTGGCTGCTCTTGGCCAGTTAAGAGTTTATACATTTGCGTTGGCATTGTTTTCATACGCAACTACACACAAAAAAAAGTTAAAATAGCATTCAGGATAATTTTATGATATTAATATATTTACCTCGCCCACTGAATTTGATAACATACTAACAATTTTTTCATGTTGAGTTGCCACAACACTGTGACCATTAATCTCAATGATTCGATGACCAACACGTACACCACCGCGTTCAGCAATTCCCCCCCGTAACAAACTACAGATCTAAATGAAACAGAAAATTTTATTATTCATTGACCATATAATTTTCTAGTCCATATAACAACAGGACAACCATTGATGGCGTTGGAGAGATTGTGGAAGCGATCACAACCATCCGGCTTTTTAAATTTTAGATTTTTTTGCGAAAATTTGTTGAACTAGACGCAACGTTATTAAAATAAAAATCAGATCTAGTAGATTGACGCAATTCATCAAAATAATTCTTTCTTTCGTTCACTACATACAATTCCGTTTTGTACACTAAACCCCAACTGATATTTTGTGTCTGGTCGTTTAATTAAGACTTCAACAACTGGTGGACATGGTACAACAACGAGTCGAACGGTTGTTAAATGTCTGACACTCTATGTAACAATGAAAAATAATGCATATACAACCCCAACATTAAAGATATATGTCTTACTTTGATTTGTGTTTGACAATTTGATAACGGTAAACCAACAAGACTAATTCCGTTTACAGATATAATTTGATCACCAATATTTAGATTTCCACATCTATAACAAAAATATGGACTAATAGTTGATTGTGTAAAAGAATAGAAAAATATTTACTAAACACAAACCTCGCTGATGGACCACCCGGCATCAAATTTGCAATTACAACAGTGGGTAACATTGATCCCCAACCAGATTCAACAATCACTATACCCAATACTTCATTTTTCTGTTTTGGAATAATAACCTAAAAATAAAAAGTAGAGATAAAAATTCGAATAAGAGTAAATTAAAATCTTTTACATTAGAGGTGGGCAAGTCCGACCATTTCTAAGTCCAAGTCCAACAGAAATTTGTTTATCAAGTCCAAGTCCGCTAGAGCTTAAGCCCAAGTCAACTCTAACTCAAAGTTGGAGTCGACGTTCTTCATAGCAGTTTCTGCACTATACAGTACCTCATAATCATATATGACGGGTAAATAAATTTTATCTGTACATTGATGCATGTTTGACAAAAAAAAAGATTAATAAATTAAATATTAGATTATACTCATTCCATTGTTGAACGTAATAGATTTTAACGCCTTGGACTTCAAATGGACTTAATAAAAAGATCCTCAGTCCGAACTTGGACTTGCCCATCTCTGTTTTACATACTTCTTTTTGACATTCTTTTTTTGAAAAACGATTCAGTTCTTCGCTGCATATTTCTTGCTGATTTAATACTTCTTGATAATCAATATCACGAGCAAAACTTGGATCATCGATTCCATTTGCTTTTAAAAATTCAACATAGGCAACTTGAAATGCTTGGCCAATTGCATGTGCAACCGATTGTGCCTTAAAAAAATAAATTCATGAACTAATTCTTTCGTATTGGACATATCAATACGATGTTTTTAATAAAAATATATAACATACCTCGTCTGATTCAAATACATGACAAATCATTTTTTGGTTAATAGCCACTCTTCTAATGTTTGTTTCACCATTATTACTTTGATCATCGGTACTATTATTGTTACTATCATCTGTCGGTGTTGCATTAATATAACGCCGTTTAGCCATTAGAACAACTAAATCTCCAATGTCAGCTATATAGGATATAGAACGGAGTGAATGATCCATTAGAATATCTTGTAAATCTGTATTTAACACCATTATCTTCTCAGTTGATATAAATAAATCAACTTCAACACTTGGTTGACTTTCACCTTGTGGAGCCTACGGTATCAATAGAGGATGATTATTAGATCATTTTTTTTTTTTATTTAAAAAAATTCTATCTACTTTGATTCTTCCAACTGCTTCTTGTGCTTGCATCATTCTCGTAGCTTTTGTTGGATTTCCTTCGACTAATAATTGTGTTGAACCCAAATATCGACATCGAAATAAAACACCTTCGATTAATACTGAACAATTATCGGGATCAACAATTGTACGAGTTAATACTAGAAAATGAGAGGAATAAGGTAAAGATACTAAAATAGACGTTGAGTGCACATAAAATAGGACAAACTAAAGTACTACACACATATGATGAACTAATACCAAACAGTCTTGAAGTTCTAACGGGTTTATCTATAATCATATCTGAAAGGGTATGAAGACGATGCGCGTTTAGTTCCTAATTCCAACAGAGAACAGTTTCGCTATGAATTAAGTTTATACACAGATCTTTTTTCTATAAACGAATCCTGAACGATATCTTCGGTAAAAGTAGTTAGATAAATAAACATGGAACAAGCTGCACTAACTTCTGATTTCTAAAATACAATTGACGAGATAAAGCATGGGAATATTTTTTGGGCAAATTAATAATGATGGAAGATTAATGGTTGGTGGGTGAATGATTCTAATAGTGAAAAATGAATAATCATGCTTTACAACCACAGCAAATAATAAAAATAATATAAAGCAACGACAAACACGGATAACAGAAATTACAAGACAACAGTCGATAGTAGTGTTATTTATACTTACGAAAAAATATCGAATTAATTAAAGAACAAAGTTGATTTGAAGAGATTTACGTAAAAAATAAAAGATGAAAAATATTTAATAAACATTCAATTTAGATTGCAGATAATTCAATATTTTCTAGTCAAGTAAAAAAGACTTTAAAAAAATATGCTGTTAACTCAGGTAATTTGAAAATTGATTTAATTTTTTTTAACGTGAAATGGAAAAATAAACACGTGTTCGCACTATGAAATCTCAAAAAGATTGATTCATCTCAACTATGAGAAAAGCGAGTCTAAGAATATTTTTGCCTATTTCTCGTCTATGGTATGAAATAAAATACAAATTTACATCACAAAAGGTTACTTGTTTAACCGCTGTTAAAAGATATTTAGAAATTAGAAAAGAGGTTTACTTTCACGTGGTCGATGATGTTGATGTTGAGATTGAGTTGCTTTTACTGTCTAAAGTGAAAACAAAATAATATAAATTAGATAAATAAATTATTAACAATTTTTCAAGTTTTTACTTACCGAATCCTTGGTTGACTCATTTTTTATTGCATCCGAACGATATTCACTACTAAGCAATTTATCAGTCTCTTCATCGGTATCATAATCTAAATTTGGACAAAAATAAATATTAAGTTTAATGATATATTAGTACATCCGAATGAAACTTCTCACGATATAAAAAATTAGCAGCGTTAAGACAATATATTCAAGTGATAAAATCATAAAAACTATTTAATGAAAATCGTAGACCAGTGACTGGATACAAGAACTGTAAAATCTGTAATTTAGTTTTACAGAAAATTAGTACAATTATCGTCATCATGCTGTTTATAGAGTATTTCTTTCTATTGAACGATATTTATTTTTATGTCTGTAAATATTTCTCTTTGAAAAGTCAGTACAAATGTTATACTATAAGTAATCTTTATTTTTTTGTTAAATTATATTCAAAAGGTGTCATTGGTGATTTTTTGAACAAATTTTTTTTTATGATTGTAATTGTGTCATTAATAATTTATTTTTAGGGAAGTGAGGGAGACAAGTATGGTACTGATAAAATGATGAAAAATCTATTATTGTTGAAACTGTCTAAGCAAAAGATTTACAGACATAACGCAAATATTGTATTTGGATTCTTTTGTAAATATAAATTTCGAGAAATTTTTATTCAAGTATGTGGTTACATGTATCTGAAAAACTAGAAGATCTTCAGAATCGTGTTTCTCAAGAACCTCTCTCATCAAGTACAGTTTATTTTACCAAGGCTCTTAGATTTCAATTTTTTCTTTTCAAAATTTGATAAAATTTTGCGAGTTCTATACGGGAGAAAAAGTGAAAGAAGCTAGAAAAATTAGTATAAAATGATGATAGTAGAACTAGTTTTGATATACAAAGATAAAGTGTAGTTTTTCCACCTTTCACATCAGCTACACACTTACAGTAGGAAACTAGTAAATAAGGGGATATATCTCTTTCCACATGATATATCATGTGCGGAGATTCTTTCGTTCAAACGCGTCAATAGAAAGATATGCATATGAGAAAAGAGATATCTTCTTATTTGTCAGTCCTCTAGTTTTTACCAAAAATCTATTTAGATCTTTACCACTTTTATATAGTTTCGCCGCTAGCGCTTTTAGCGATGTGAGATTTTACATGGATTTACTCATTTCGTGAGACATGCTAAATAACGGAGTATTCTTATTGGTTGAAGGACAGAATCACTCTAACTCAATAACACTACAAAAAGCATCGGGATACACTCGTACACAAATCACATAAAGGATTTCGACTACGAAAATTATCTTAAATGAGATCGTGTTGTTAACAAAGACACAACAAAACAAATTTTAATTCATGCGCAATTTTAAATAATTGAAAATGAAATTCATGCAAAATACAAACAGAAATTTAATCTAATCATAGAAATTTCATCTAATCATCAAGTCTCATTATTGATATTTTTTGAAATTTAAGTAAAAAATATATATGTTTAGATTTAACCTGCTTTTCACATATCAACACAACTATTCTTCTTGCTCATGCATGCACAAATACGCAGATAAAAACAAAAATCATAATGTATATTATATTATAAACGAAATGAACACAAACCTACTCTTATTCGGTTTTTGTTTTTCAACTGTAGCAATATTTCCGTCTGTGTCTAAAGTATAATAACGTTTTACTCTCTGTGCAACTTTCTTATGAATATTAATTCGAACGAAAAAAGGATCATTTTATTAATAAATTGATCCTTCTCATACTCTATTTTGAAACAAGAGATTTTTTGGAATTTATCTTACCAGCTGTAATAATGCCTCCTACAACATTTTTTCCCTCTTCATTTTTAAGGTTTGGAGAATGAGAATTTTGTGCACTTGTAGAATTCCAAGATTGTTGTTGTTGCGAATTGGACGGATGTCGATTTTCATTATTAATATCACCATTAGTTTTGTTAACACCTGTTGGTGAATTTGTGGTTAGAGATGATATTTGATATCGCGATGAATGGTTACTGTGATTATTAGTCAATATGTTATCGTCGTGTGAATGGGGTGATGATGGCGGTGGTGGTCGAATATAAAACGATTTTTGAAGAGATACGGAAGAGGAATTTGACGACGTTGATGATGAGAAAAGATTATTTTTATTGGAAGACAATGTTGGAGATACGACGGCATTCGACGGACTATTAGAATTAGTCGGTTGTCTGTGATTATTACGATTAGTATGACGTGGATTTAAATTTTCTTCACTGTTCGTATTCATTGATGAAGTATTTACTTTCATAAAATTTTGTTTATGAGATGTAGAGAGCATAGGGGGCATTTGTTGTTGTTGATCGAATAAAAAATCACTTCGAGCCGACTTATGTGTCGTCTGACGTTGTTGCTGACGATTACGATGATCATTCGAAGAAGATAATTCATCGTTATTATCATCACTCACACAATCATCTGATAAACCATCTTCAAGAATAGGCATTCCAGCTGGAAAAAAAGAAAAACTCTTAATAGATTATGGATTACAGAGTTCTATTCTTTTAGAACACTTTGTGATTAAAATAGTAGATGTATTAATTACCCGTTGTGCCTGATTTTTGACTTTCAAATGATATAATACTATCTGTATCGTTATATTCACAATCTGACGATAAATCTGGTGATATTTTATTAAGATTATCATTAATAGTCTGATTGTTCTGTGACGATGGTGACGATTGTAAAATTGTCATCGGAGAATTATGACTGTTACGATTGTTTACCAATTTTCTTCTTGTTGCTGTTGAATCGGATTTCATAGATTCACCACTACAAGACGATTTCACTGAACCTTGATCTTTTGCCGGTGTGTACTCTAAATAAATGAAAATTGAAAAACTATTATCTATTGCCCAATAGACATATAAAAACAAAAATCCACAAACAAACAAATGACACCGAAACAGATGAGAGATCATGATAATATCTCTACAAAAACATGCTTCTCATAAACAAACAAATTATTTTCGTCACTAAGTGTTCATATGATAAAAACTATTACAACTTTCAATTATTATAATAGAAATAAATCAGTTAATCGTCGCAGAATCATTTATTTTCTTTAAATGCTGGACTCGATTTCTCAATCAAAAATTTTTACCAATTATAAACTGTGAACACTTTTTTTCTTCTTTGCTTTGAATAATTTTATATAACGAAAAAATACAGTATACGACGACCAAAAACACAACATAAACAAGACAAAATATACAAAACTCTAATTTTTGATAAATAATAATTATACGACATCAATAACAACGATTTATTTTGCCTTACCATTCTTCCATAATCCATTTGGAATACTATTTGTTGTAAATTGTTGCTGATAGTTTTCAATAGATTTTTGAAAAGTATTACTATTATTGTTTATCGGTGTATTATCGTACAATGTCACAAACGGTAAAGAGGATATTTGATTTAAATACAGATGAGAAAGTAATTGTTCACTACGTATTTCTATTGGAGATTTTCTATTTTCACTATTCATTTCCGATACTTTATTATTAATTTTTGTGTCTTCTTTCGATGATGGTAGTTCATTAGATGTCAACTGTTGTCGATCGCGTGTTCCAGCACGAATTGTGTCATTCGTGTTTGCAATACGGTTGCTATTATTTCCAGACGATTTTTTTCCGATTCTTTTACTATGATGTTGATGATTATTAGTTGTAGTAATAGGAGTAGCAGTTATTAGAGTAGAAACTGTCGGAGTCTTTATTAGAGAATCATTTATGAGTGGCGATGACATTGTCTCTCTAAAACAGTTTTGAGAATAATGAGTATTACCTGACAAATGTTCTTGAGATTGTTGTGAGAGAATATTTAGATGCTGTGGGTGTACAATGTAAGAATTTTGCTGTTGCTGTTGTTGTTGGTGGTGTTGTTGTTGTTGTTGTTGGTGTTGGTGTTGCTGTTGTTGTTGTTGTTGTTGCTGTTGTTGTTGCTGTACGGCAGCAAACGCGGCCAGTGCTGCCGGACCATATCGTTCGAGTAAGACGGAATCGTATTGTGTAGGTAACGAATTATTATAATAATTATTTGTAGGAGTTTGTAGTGTAGGAACGGGTAGTCCGTACGGTGATGGTAAGTATGGATGATAATGATAAGGTGGCAAAAGAGGTGGTGATTGCCAACTGGAAGGAATTGAATTCATATCGTACATTCCTCCTCCGTTTGATGGATGAGGAATAAACTGTTCTGTATTTGTTCTCGTAGTTCCATTTGTATAACCACGATATTCATCCGCTGAACTGTCAATCGAATCTGGTGTCATTTCTCGAGATGAAGACGACAATTGTTGAATAGATGGTGTATTTTCACGAGAATGTTGTTGATATTGATGGTGTGGATGATGATGAACGTTTTTAGCCGTCGTAGATAATCCATTTGAATCGAATAATTCAAGATCATTTTGTGTTAATTGTGACGGTTTGGTTGTTGTTCGTTTTACTTGGGTAACAATTGTTTCAATATTTTTTTCTAACGCAGCATCGATTCGTTTTTTAGCTGCAGGATTTGTTGAATTCGACTGTTGTGATTGTTGTGACTGTTTATGATTATGTTTATGATTATGATGAACAGAATTAGGCATCGTTATCGACATTAAAGGTTTAGCTAATCCGGGTCCATTTAAGACTGGTGATAATCGACCAACAACATAGTTTTCTTCTAGAACAAATAAAAAAGTATTAAATAGTTTATTATTCATAAAATAATATTGATGAGGTGGGATCGACTATGTCGTACTCGATGATGATGATCGTATGGATTGAGGAGAGTGTGCCACTGTTAAATTTTGAGTATCACTGTGTTTTGCATGTTCTTTATCATTCGAATAAGTATTATCTGTTTGAGAGGATGGATGATTTTCTTCCGCTACATTTTGATCAATCTAAAATACACATCGGTATTAAATACGTGTTTATTAGATATCTTTCAACTACCTTTTTAGTGTGAGATACTATGTGATGGAGAAATGTTTAAATCATACTCTTATAGAATCACTAGTCACGCATAATACTACGCTTCAATATAAAAGTAAAATGAGAACGTTAATGGAAAAACTTTTTATATTGATTTTTAGATTATGCATTTCTCATATTAAATAGATAATAGAAAAAAAAATCTTCGCTAATTTTTACATCATACTATTACGTATCATCTCTTTCTCGCCTGCAAATTTGGAAAATGGATGAATGTCACTTTTGTATTCTTATTTTGTGTATAATAGTGACAATAGAAACAGCCAGGCTACATAGCATTAAACCTTCAAAGATGACATTTCCAACATCCATCATTCCAATCGTGTTACTATTAGTAAAATATACGAGAAGAAAAAGGAAGCAGAAGGAAAAATAACAGGGAAAAATACAAAAATCAGATGGTGATGTCATTTATTACATATAATTGTAGATACAAGCTGGTTATTACGATCAAAACAAGTGTAGGTTTAAAGATTGTAGACTACTCTAAATGGGAAACTTGACACTTTTTTCATATAGAAAAAAATCTTTGACATAGAAAACCAGTTATGTAAACTGAAATCCTTTTTTTTTGTTGTTGTTGTTGTTGTTGTTGACAACTCATTAAAGAAAATAACAAATGCTCAATTCTGAGACAGGATGTCAGTGGTAGTATCTGTTCATACAGTTCATAATTAAAACAATCAACACGCAATAACAGTTAACACTAACATTCTACACATGTGTCTTATAGTGTTCAATACAATATATAAATCTTTCACTAATAATTATGCCAAAACATTCAACTAATTCGATGATTGTATAATTCTATATATCGACGCAATGTTCATAGAGAAGTATATATATATATACAAATAGTAAATAAAACAGAAAGAAGAATAAAAAATATACAACGGAGCATTACGAGTGTTTCACAACTGTAATTAAAAAAAGAAAGTATGCTGAAGTATGATAAAAATATATGTACAATAAGACATATCATAGACATCGAAAGATATTTCTATTAAAATTCAATGTCTCATTTTAAACAACGTTACGAAGTATGGAAGCGATTAATCAGATCTGATTGATTTATTAAATATATAGTAAATCAATTATATAGAGATATATACGTACAATCATGCACAATAGAAATGTCTAAAATCTTATTCATTTCTCAGTCAAAATCTCTAGATTTTTTTTTTACATCATAAATAATTTAAGAATTTAACAGTATCTCTTCGCTTTTGTTGCTGAACATTTTAACAATGTTTGATTTAGCAATGTTGTATAACTATGCTAATAAAACTATTTTCTACGATTTTACACAACTTTATGACTCAAAGAATTCTTTCTTATTTTCAATCTTCCGGGGTGAGTCACACTTCTATTTAAAATAAAATCAATAAAGTATATCATATTTGACTCTTTTTTTTTTTTCATAGATATAAACGAGCAGACAGATGAACCATTATCATTAATTAAATTAAAAAAAAAAAATTTTCTCTTTCTCTAGTGTTTTATACGCACTATATAGAAATAGAACAAAAACATTACAAGTGTAATCAGATAGAAAACGAAGATAAAAATTAAGATACCAAAAGACAAAGAAGAGCAAATGTGATAGTTTTCTATAGTCTATGAATATATCTAATCAAAACGAAAAATTGAGAAGAGAAAAAAAGTTGATCACACATAAACACATTGTAATTATTGAAATTAGAAAGAAAACTAATTGATCTTTGGAGCACTTTCAATTATTATCAATTTTACGCTATAAAAAATATAAAATGATGTTGTCTTCAAGCCAGTTTATTCAAATAGAGAGAGAGAGAAAGAGAGAGAGATGAAAAACGCTATTCTTTTACCATAGGATAAATAGACACTCGATGTATGAGAGTCTTTATCAATATCGTTTATACCAAAAAAAAAGACCATATCTGGCTATAGACAAAAATGAATTGAAAATTATTGAGCGAGTGTTACCTAATTACGTACAGTTTGTTCTTGGTCAATTTAACATTAGATAAATATTTGAAAATATCTGAAATTCTTAAATTTTCTCAATATTGTTTGAAATTTCAAATAAATAAAAATAATTCTTTTCTTTCTTCTCCGTTAGTAAAAAAACAATCTGATTCTATTATTTTTTTTTTTTTTTGTCTTCTAATCAAAAATCGCATAAGACAAAACCAAATTGAACATGACTCATGTACAAGGTCTATGTTGCATGATAATCTCCACACAAATCATTCATCTCAATTAAAAAGTCGTTTTAGATTTCTCCGACATTTTTCAACTTTATCTTATCATTGTCTATGTTAGTAAATTAATCGTTGACAGAATCGCTTTTATTGTCACGAATGTACTATTTTCATTCAGTTTTGTCATTGTATGTATACGAGATAAAGTAAAAGTGTTTGAGATATAAGGTTAAAAGATTGAATTCAATTAAAAAAAAGAATTTATAGAAAATAAAGAACACTAGAATACTAATTAAAGTAACAGTTCTTTAGAGAAAAAAAAAAACTCAAAAGTATTTTTATAGAATATTTTTGTGTAACTATAACATAAATGACAACTATAGTCAAATCGTACTAGATAACTCTTTTTCTCTTCTATATCGTAGATTTATTATCATAAAATGACATATAATTTAATTAGAAATAGTACTTGATACAATTTTTAACAATAAATTATTGTTATGTATTGAACTTTGACAAATTTTTAAAGTATAACATAACTTTAATTGAAGAAGAAAGTCTAATTTCTGTTTTTCGTCGATTGATTACCATTTCAATTTCTTTCTAGTGTAGTTAATCAAGCGATTAACAAGAAATTCGTCGTCTCTAAATTTTTTATTATATTCTCTATTTTGCCTATAGGCTAAGAATTTTTTATAACTATACAACCTTTTAAGAAATAATATGACAAGGCCAACAGTCATTTAGCTGGCAGAATGTATTGTTATATATTAACATTGCTCTCTATATATATGTGTGTGTGTGTGTGTGTACGGATAACACGATTTTTTTTCTCGAAATAATTACTCATCCTTCTTTCTCTCTCTCTCATAGTAGATTCATTCAGTGAACCATATAAATAAAAGAAGAGAAAAAATGACGATGACGATATTATTAATAATAATAATAATAATAAATATATAAGTGGTATTAATTTTCAAAGACAACACGAAAAAAAAAATATCAGTCCATCGCTATTCTCATGAGATTGTCTGATGTTACAATGAGATTAAACTATGTTCATTAGATAACAGAAACAAAATAAAAAGACAATGATGATCAAAAGAGACGTGGACATATGAAAAGAAAATCAAGATTTGTTTACTTCTCAATCAAAGTAATAATCTCTTAGAATAGATTAACTAGCAATTAAATTTATTCTAAACGGTTGAAATCGACAAATTTTTTTTGTAGATCTCTTAACTCGACTAAAATGTTTCTAGCAAAAAAAGTGGATCGTTTTTTGATGTTAAATGATGATGAGAAGGAAAATATGATGCAAAATTTTATACAAACGTAGTTGAGTAAGAATAAGAGAGCAATGAAAATATGTTTAATATTAACTTACACGATGTCTATGTGATCGTCGTCGATGAGATTTATGATGATGATATTGTGGTTGCTGTTTTATTGCAAATGGCATATTTTTAATAATTTTTATTTTTATTTATTTTTTTCCGTTTTTTTTTTAGAATGCGCACTTTTATGTGTCACTCCACTCTAGTGAACATCATTATTACTATTTTGATTAGATAGATAGGCGATTATTGATCTATTATTATCAGTCAAAAAAAGAAAAATGAGAAACAAGAAACAAGAAATAGACTAGTATTTCTTTCAATGCCATCAATTTTGTTTGTTCTCTTTCTCTCTATTTCAAGAGTAAAGTACATCTGTCAATGAGATAAAATGGTGCAGATCAAAGAGATATTCTGTATAAACAACAGAGACAACGTTTTCTTATGTTAGGCCTTCTTTGTTCAACGAGAGAGAAAGAGGGAGAGAGAGAAAACGTTTCGAACTCACATATTTTAAGATAGAGATGTGTATTCTACTAAATCTTTTCTTTTTTGTTGCTGTTAATAAAAAAAAGAAGAGAAAATTGGAAAAAAAGACGAGTTCGAGATGTGGATCTTTTTCTTTTTAATAATAAGACTATTGTCGGTCAATGTGTATGAGAAAAAAAAGTACTAAAAAATTCTTTTTTCTGTAAAGGCGCTTCAGATGATTAACACGTCTAAATTTAAAGAAACATGGAGAGAGAGAGAGAGAGAGAGAGAGAGAGAGACAGATAACATTACAATTTATTGTAATTAGAAAATAAAAAATGATATATATATATATATATATATAGCAGGAAAAAAGATGTACAATCATGCATTCAAAATTGTTCTCAATTAATAACGTAAGAGTGTCTCAGAACAACATTGAAAAGAAAAATGATACCTTTTAGACTACAATATGAGTCAGCATTTTATGTTTACAAATATGAGTCAGTATCTCGAGAAGAAGTATCTTATTTCAACTCAAACTAAATAGAAAATTTTTGACAGCTCATAGATCTAACACCTTCTAGAGATATGTCATCTGTCTATGATACTTGAATAGCTAGTGAATCCTTCATTTTTGTTTTATCTCATAGATTTTTTCAAATTGACTAATAGCACCTGTCACTATTATACAATTGATATTTGACGTACTTTTTATAGTGGATTTTTGTTGAATACTATGAATGATGTAAAAAATTGAAACAAGGTCTAGTGATTCTAATTAGATTCATATTTTTTTAAATACTATCCAAAATCTATTTCAATTTTTATCATTTTCTCTTTTTGAACATGCAAAACTATTTGATTAGTATAAGATAAGATGTCTTTTTCATTATCTTTCTTCTTTTTACTTTCATTTCCATTTTTATTATATATTTTTTTTAATGGATTCATTCGATCAACAAGCAAAAGGAAAAAATATGACATGATATGAAGGACAGTGGACAATATATATTTTTTTCTCAACAGATGCATGCATTTAATTAATCGATATTCAAGACATTACAACTAACAACATCTCTAATAGAAAATGTCTTTTATCGCATTCTCAATTATTTTAACAATACTAGACGTATTTACAATCAAGATATTATAGCAGACAATTGTTTGTCTCAGAATTTTACAAGAAAAATAGTACATTAAGAGCTACTGCACGATAGGAGTAACCTAAGAGATGAGTCGCTCAATCGATGTCCGATGTTTTTGTTCAAAATTTCATAATAGATAATTGTTCGCTCAAAACTCACCGACATAAAAAAATTTTATAAGCCTTTTCAGAAGCTTGTTTTACAAGGGAAAGAGGCTTATGAGAATGTTGAAACAAGCTATATAACATTACTTTCAATAGTTACTAATGTTTTAAGATCTTGATAATAGATAGTGGCAACATATTGAGAAAGATTCTCAAAACTTTTTGACCTAAATAGGCTTTCGCATAAGCTTTTTTTTACTTGAACAATATGCGATTGAATTTAATATTACTTATGTCTATTGTATATATGTACCTCTCTTCAGGTATTGATTGTATTAGACCTATAGATTGCAATAACATAAGAGCCCACCTATTTGCAACACTATCGGACGAGAAAACCGATTTTTAAAATAAGCCCTTTTTTTATTGTCGACTCGGTTTTGAGCTGAATCGTACAACAACCAAGTGACTTATACAAAATAAATTCATAGTAGAGGTACACATATACAATAGACATAAGTAATATTGAATGCAATAGCATATTGTTCACGTAAAAAAAGCTTATGCGAAAGCCTTTGTCCTAGCCAAATTTCATCATGTTGTGTTGTACACATTTGTTCACACATGTGCTATATTTATTTTTACACTCTCTTAGTTATAGATATTAATTTCGACTACTTATACTATAAATACAAACCCCTAATCTACATCCTAGGTCGAGATATAAACACCACAATTTTGACTTTTACACATTTATGATTTTAGACTGCTTTTGATATTTTCACGAAAAGTTCGCTAACTTTTGAAGAGAGTAGGTTCTAGTCAAAAAGCGATCTATTATGAAATTTTGAACAAAAACATCGGACATTGAGCAACTTACCTCTTCAGTTATCTCTACCGTGCAATGGCTCTTAATCAAAACTACTTTAACCTAGTCATGACCATTTCATCAACATTTTTCTTTTAAATGCCGATTTGTAGTACAGAATACTACGATGATGTTCAGTTTATTCTTAGAAGTCTGGAGAATATCTCATCCTATCCAGGAACATATAAGCTCATAAATTTAGTACGATCCCTTCGTTCTCTTCAAAGGATATACAAAAAAAGGCATTTCTCACTTGTTTGATTTTCGTAATTGTTGCTGTTGTTGTTGTTGTTTGTAAGTCAGTGAGTTTATCGTTCCGATTAGTATTATATTTAGGCAAAATAGTCGCAACAGACGAATTATCACTGCTTTGTTGTTGTTCTATTTCCTCTGTTTCTGTAAACGTCTTTGGTAAAGGCGATAATCGAGAAGTAGAATGTGTGGATGGTGTTGACACTGTCAATTCTTCATTATTATCATTAGTACTTGTGTATTCCACAGTAGAATGTGTACTATTTTGTGATAATTGATCATCGACAATGGTTAGAGTTGGTACTGTATCATCCGTTGAGGATATGTTTTTTGTGCGAGAATCAGTTTCGACAATCGATTCCAACTCTAGAAAAAGAGAAATAAAAAATATCGACAATTGTGAAGATAAATTATAAACAATATTCAAATTACCAATTTCGTCATTTTTCATTGATTCAAGGTTAACGGTTTTTTCATTCACTATATCTAAATAGGTGAATAAATAAAAGTGGACAACTTTTCGATAAACTCTTTAGCAAGAAGATATGAATGGCATCCACTTTTAAATTTCAATCTTTTTGGACATGACATAGACACAATAAAAACTAACAAAAGATCAATAGAAACATCGTTGGGGGATACAAATTGGTGTTTCACATAGTGAGATGTGGCAATTTTCATGAAAGTAGTGAGAATGAACTGAACTTTAATTTATTACAACCCGTAGCAACGAGAATAATGTTTAAAAACAGAATAGGAGTCACAAGTATGAGTTTAAAGCGAAGGATAACATCATTGGTATTAATTAACTTAAAGTAATAATTTTCTCACTAACAACTTACGTGCATCGATCACTCCTTGATCATTATTAGCAGGTATAGAAGAATTTGAATTTACTGTTGCTGTTGTCATCACTTGTTCTTCATCATTTTCTTCATTTTTCTGTTCACTATTCATTATTATTCTACTATTTCAATTCATCCAGCTTTTATCATTATACTAAAACACGAAAACATGACATTAAATACGTTTAAATCATAGTGTTCAATAGTACTGGAGAGAGTTTGTATGAATGAATACAAAAATTAAGATCAATGATTGAATTGTAAAAGAAACTGATTTTAGGACTAAACAATTTTGACAGTATGTTTTTTTACTTCCAATTATCATTAAATCGCTAAGACTAATCTACTTAGATTTAAGTGTTGAGTATAAAAAACGTTTACGGCAAAGTGCAATCAAGTTTACATATCATGAGCTCTTAATAATTTTATTTATAGAAAGGCCTTTGTATGCTAATGCAAATAATTAAAAACGACGAGTTTTGTTGAAATTGAAATACTAATACATCTTTTTAAGTAAATTCCGGTTTTAAGAAATCTTTTTTACTCTTAATTTATTGTTGATTTAAGTCCATCTGTATTTTGTAAAAAAAAAAAGAAGAAAAGCAAAAAGTAATTTAATTATAGTTGATGTATATTCGCCGACACATGGAAACTGAATTTGAATTACTAATTCTACTCACACACACATACACATACATTTTTATAGTTGACTAAAGAGCATACATTCAAATAAATTAAACAACGGTGGATATACTTTACAAATTTTTAAAAACGTTTATTGTTCATTCATACAATTATCCGTTTTAAACACATAATATAAACTCCCTCAAGTATACAGTGAACAATATCGATGTCACACAATATGTTTTAACAAAAAAAAGGTGTTAATTAAGATAATTAGTCACAAATGTGTCTAGAAAAATAAATTATATCAACGAATATAATCATTGTTTAAAAGTATTAATATTTTTATCCACTTAACATTGTTACATCTAAAAACCAGCATATAGTTAGTAGTCGAAGGACCATTTTAGATGTCATTTTATCTCAAAATGACATCTATGTTAGCAGTCAATGATAGCATTTTGACTGCTGTTTCAGATCAAAGACGATATGTTCACAAAAAACCTTTTCATTAGTGATCATAAAGAAAGAGTAAAATCGAGAAAAGAAGAAACAATAGAAATCTCGAATTACCGTCAATGCTATAACAAGAACTAGATGTCAATCACGCTACCAAGAGTTGCGAATGTGTTGTGAAACAGGAACAAGAGAATGAAGGATACGACAACAGAGAACTCAAATTTTTTGTTAAATTGTGTACAGTATTGTTCGCAGGAAAGAATTGAATAAACTATAGATTAGTCACGTAAAAGAGTAATCGTCTTACTTTTGAGAAAAACATACTCAGCATTAATTATCTAAAATACAAGAATGCATTTAGAGGTTAGAGTTACAATAATCACTTGTTGAATAGATATAGAGAACGATCATAAAATGAATCACACGGTAGACGAACGTACTCTGGTATAAAAGCGCGTGTACATGTATGTCTCAGATTAATTATCCTAAACGTTCAAAAGATCTACTTTGAAGCTGTAAATTAGAGTACCGAAATATACACACCGTCTCTAAAGGGGAGAAGAGACAATTCAGCCGCTCCTCTCTCTACAAGTATTTAAAGTTTTGAAACACCACTTGTAGTTTTCGAGATAACCATTACAGAAAAGCACACTTTTTTTGGCGAGCAAAAAACACGCAGTTTATTACTAGAATGCGGTTTCGCTTCGCACCACATTAAAAAACAACGAACAAAACAAAAGTGAAACAGATGGTCGTCACGTTGCGTCGAAAAATCATCATGTTGAGAGAGAGAGAGTGCGACTAAGATCTAAATGAGTTTTAGCTAGAAAACTGACTTTAAAAACATATCAACTTTATTTTTCGCTCTTAAGTGTCCAAATCGAACGATAAAGCAAAAACATTAGATTAATACAATGAAAAAAAAAGCTTAGTTTTTTACTTGATCTTTCAATTTGGACACTTAAGAGAGAAACATAAAGTTGAGTCCCAGATGACATGATCGGCAATTACATGCACGTTCTCGTTACCAAGGTATATAACAATCATCTCTGGTATATGCACCTGAAGTCTTGAAAAATATAAGACTAAAATTAGAATGTTCTGTTCTATCAAAGTTACTTGTTCATGATTCTGAGCATCTCCTCAGCTGTGAATTTATTATAATAGAAACAACAGGTCGTCTTTCTTTTGTGAAATAAGCAAATAAGAATAAAAATTTGTTTATGTAAAGAAAAAAATGGTATTTCTTGATAGAAACAGCAGTCATAATAACAATTTCTACATACTAATCGCGTTTGAATTCATTGAAAACTATTGTTTCTTAAAGATAGTTTGTGCTTATTTTTCTAATAATGTAGATAATCTACATTATTAGCAAAAAAAGGCAAAAAGAAAACATCATATATTTAATAGAATGAATTAGTTCAAAGTAGTGACAATCATGTTTTCGAATTTGTATAAATAAACCATTTACCATACAATTCGCTTATAAAAATCAAAATTCTTAAAATGCTGTGTAAAAGTACCAATTCTACAAATGGAAGATATTTCCATCATCTGACGACGTTTTTCACTCAGAAACTATAGAAACATAATATCCATAACACTCAATAAAAGATTGTATAATGTATGTAAAGAGAGAATGACAAAAGTCTATAGAAAAAATTATATTGTTTATCTTTAAAATTTACATCCATTTGAATGTAGAAATCGTATCAAAAATTAAATTAAACTCAAGACACTTAGAAGTGTGAAATTTAGCATAATTATCGGATACGTTGTTCTTCTCTTTAAAAGTGAATCTTGATAGTGTTCAGTCGTTTTTTATTTTTGAGACATCCAATAATTGTATTATTTTATGTTAGATGATGATCGATTTTCAAATTTGTTCTAAACACAAATTTATAGAATATTTGTGTCATTAATGAATGCCAAATAGTTCCATCATATAAAGAAAAAAGAAAAAAAAAATTCAAATTCTATCCAATGTGTGAAACGAATAATAATGAATATACAATTTAAAAAAATGGAAATTATTAAATTGCATGTGAATATCGAATGAAAGAGTATTATCGGAATAATCCAACGGGAAGAAAAGAGATTATGAAGACATCTCTCTCTCCCTCTCTCCCTCTCTCTCCCTCTCTCTCTCTCTTACTTTACTTACTTGCACTTGAACTGTATTCAGTCATAGGACCCTCTTGACTTCATCATCAATGTTCAACGGTAACGTTATTGTTAAAAAACTTAGAAGAACATGAAAAATAAAAGTAAAAATGATGAAAAATAAAGGTTCAGTTCTAATGACAAGAATATGCATGTGTGTGTGTGCGTGTACACCACGCTTTAGAGGCAAATAGAGAAAAGGAAAAAAAAATGGTGAAGAAAGAAGTGTATGGTTGTATTAAGACGTCAGACCTAAGTATATGCATTATCTCTCTATGAATAAAACTATTCTACTTTTTAAAAGTCGTATTATTAATAAGAAAAGCTACTAAATAATATCAAAAAAAAAAACTTTTATACCAATCAATTTAAGAGAAGAGAGAGACAGACAGACAGACAGATGCAGAAGAAAAAAAAGAGAAGAAAATAAGTAAAATACCTTTACGCGATTCTTGTAATAACTAAAAGTATAGTTGGCATCGCGTGTAAATTGTGTATTGAAATAAAAATATGTAAATAATAACGCATATTCGGTTTTCTTTCTCTATACACCTCGAAATAACGTGAAAAGGATCTTTCAATTACCTAATATTAATAAATTACAGTTTAAAATACAAACTGATCCATTACTTTTTTCTTATAATTTTCGACAAACTACTCTCATATCTCATATCTAATAGTTAACAATAACTAAGACGCTGCATAAAAGAACTCTAACTATCTGATTTTTTTTTTTCTAATTCATAACAATAACAAAAAAATTGTATTTATGCCGGTTCGATAGCCGAATAAACAAAGTATAAATGTCTATTTCTATAGATAAGAGATTATCTAAGAGTAAATGGTTGCCTATTTTTATTTATTTTCTTATCTAATCAGCTGCTAACATTTTTTTTTAATACAAATAACGATGCCATGATGTATTTCAAATTATTTTCGCATGAAACAAGGTAAAAAGTAGAAACATAGTTCATCTCAAAAATATTTTTAAGAACAAGAAAGAGTAAAACAATGTAATTTTTTTTGTATCATTTTTTTTTTCCTAACATTCTGCACACATATGTTCTTATCAATACTTAGAGAAGAATCTTTGGTTGAAACAAAAGAGCAGAAAAACAAGAAAAAAAACAGAAAGAAGCGTTAAAAAACATAGCGTGTTATCCTCCCTCAACTCAATACAATCCTTATATATTGACATAACTATTGATAATAATGTTGGCAACAGAAAATTCTAAAAGAATAAGAATTATCACGATTAAAATCTAATCACTATGTGTAAATTAAAATAGAAAAAGAAAAATATTAAAATACTTTTGACCCTCAAGAAATTCTGTAATAATCAAACAGAATCTAGAAGAAATATTTTTAATTGAAAAAAAAAAGATTACAACGCTAGTAAATTTAAAAGAGTGCAATGCAACATTCATTTTGCAGCTGCAAGAAAGAGAGAAAACATTTTCTAAATCTAAACCTATCAATATTGAACTATGATGATCTTATGTATTGAGGAATAGATTTTTAGATAGATTAAATAGGGTAGATAAATAAAACTTTGCTATGTTTCAAGATTTAACTAAGTTACTAGTAGCAAATTTATTTGATTTGGTTATTCAGACAAATCTATTTGATACAACGCAAATATTACGATTGCTTTTAAGAAAATCACAAGCTGTATTCAACCGAAACACCATAAATCTCAATTACCATTTACATCAATTTAGAAAAGAAATGTTCAACACTAGAGTTGATCATTTTTTAAGCGTTCTTTCAGACAAAAAACAGGGAACAGCAATTCACAACACGTTTTTGACTTTCTACGTCAAAAAAAGTTCAAACTTTTAAAACTAATTGTCGGATGCTTGA